GTTGCCCTACTTCTTGGGGTGGTTGGAATGATTACTTGGAGTGGTGTTTCTCAACCTTGGGAACTTTAAGAGGTGTGGACTTCCAGAATTCTCCAGCCAGAATTCCCTAGCCAGGGTCTGGGAGTTGAAGTCCACACCTCTTAAAGTTCCCAAGACTGAGAAACACTGACTTGGAGCAGACTTGAAGGATGTTGGAAATCTTTTTTGAAGCCAGCCTTACTATTAGACAGAAAGTTTCTGTCCAGGGGACGGAGGATTTAGTGAGATCGCTCCCTTATTTTTAACATCCTTTTATTCTCTGTTTTATTTTGCTTTTTATATTTTTAATCTATTTATTGACCTTTTTTAGCTTTAGTTTCTTTCTGTCTAATACCCTTTAAAGGAAGTAATTTGTTAATTCTCATTTATCAGCATGGAGATCTCATATGGACTGCTAACTTATTTCTGCTTTCATGCAATTTATCTACCATCTCAATTTATTTTTATTTACTTATCCGTCAAATTTATATGGCCACATAATTCCTATCCTGGATATTAAACAGCTCAGGCAGTTCTTTAACACCAATATAGGTTTTTCCCCTGAACTTAAATTACTGTTTTACATTTCCACGTAGTGTGGAATAAACAGTTCTACATGAAATTAGCCGGAGCACCAAACTGATTTTCAATATGATTCTCTTTTGCTCTGCAGACTGGTAGTAAATGTAAACCCACCAGTAGAAAATAGAAACGCTTCACTGCAATTTGTGAAAATATTTTATGCCTCGCCATTGTGCAGTTCCACAAATGTTTTGCTGCTCAACTTCTATGTGCTTCAGGCTATGTAATCCGGTGCAAGCAAATATGATTCTGGTTTAGAATAAACTGAGCATCTCTTTGGAAAATGTAACATATAATTTCACTGAAAAACCAAGGCTTCTGCTCAGATGGAATTGCTTTGCCACGTAAACCGCAGGAGAGAGGCACAGCATCATGATAGGGTACATGTGTGTGTATATAAAGATCAGATGCCTACAAAAACGTTGTTGAAAAAGGGCAGCTTCTAATAATGCCATTTGGACGTGGGCGCCTCATGCAGGCTGCACTCAGCTGGGTTGAAGAAATGTACTGAGGATTTTTGGAGAAAATTGTGAATTCGTGATTGGACTAGATGACTTCTAATGTCCCTTCTTTCTGATTGCGTTCATATATTCTTCTCCTCCCTGAGGTGAGGTTGGCCTCATCATTGTTCAGCTTCTGGTGGTCCCTTAAGACTTGGTTATGCCAGCAGGCCTGGGGACCCCAGGGGATGGAGGATTTAGTGAGGTGGCTCCCTTATTTTTAACATCCTTTTATTCTCTGTTTTATTTTGCTTTTTA